CCACCCACCTGGGTGTCCCCCCACTCTCTGGGTGCCCCCGCTCCCCTGCCTGCCCCCCTCTCCTGGGTACCCCCCGTTTTCTGGTTGCCCCCCACCCTGCACCCCCCCAGCCCGGCCCGGGGTCCCCCAGCAGTGCCCCCAGTCCCGTGGTCACACCAAGCATATATTTTATTGAAAGACCAAGTGGGTGACACGGCGTGGGGACAACCGGGGGTCGTACAGTGGCTCGGGGGGCTCTCGGGGCTCCTCTGGCTGCTGAGTTACAGATAAATATCGGGACATAGAGCGGGTGGAGTTATAGTCACGATAGCGCTGGGCGAGAGGGGCCGAAGCAAAGAAACCACCAGGCACAGCAGTGAGGAGCGGGGGGGGCCCCCAACGGGGACCCCCCGACGGGGATCCCCCCGACGGGGATCCCCCCGACGGGGACCCCCCCGGGGCCCGAGCGCGGTGCCGCGCCCCACGGCCCCTCGGGGGGAGCTCGGCCCCCCGGGCAGGGGGATGGCGGAGCGGTGGCGGGGGGTGGGGCCGGGGGCACCGACACGAGGGGGCCGGGGGCGGGAGACCCGGGGGCTGCAGCTGGAGGGGGGGTTTGGGCCGTTCCCGGGGGCTGCAGCGCTGGGGGACCCCCCCGTTCCTCAGGGTGGGGGGCTGGCACCGCGCAGCGCTCGGGGGCTTCATGGGGATGCTCACCCTGGCACACCCCCCCTCCCCGTGCCCCCATCAGCCCCCCCACAGCCTCCCCCCAGCCCCGCTCACCCCCTCGAGCCCCCCTCTCGGTCCCCCCCGTGTCCGGGGGGCTTCTCCCCGCTCCTGCCCCCCGGGCCGGCGTTGCTCATGCAGGGGGTGGGGGGCGGCTCCTCCCCGGCCCCCCAGGCCGGGCTGCGTCACCGCCGTGCCCGGGGTGCCCGGGGCGCACCCCGATACCCACCCGTGGTCCGTGGCGGCCCCCGGCCCCCCGAGAAGCGGTGAGGGTGTGCGGGGGGGCCGTGGGGCCTGGGCTGGAGCGTGTGCGGGGGGGCCAAGCCGGCTGGCTGGGGGTCACACAGTCTCTGGCCGCCGTGGGGCTGGAGGGGGGTGCGGAAGCAGGAGCCCCCCCGCTGCCCCCCTACTCCAGGTAGATGTCCTCTGTGGGGCAGGCGTACTCCAGGTGCTCCTGGTAATATTCCTGAAACGCTCGACTGCGGGGACGGGCACGACGGGGGGGCTCAGGGCTGGGACCCCAATACCCTGCACCCCCCGCACCCCCAAACCTGGCACAGCCACACCCCAACACCCAGACACCCCCCAGCACCCCCAGCCTCAGCACCCAGTCCCCCAGCACCCACAGCCCCCCAGCACCCCCACCTGTGGCACTGCCAGCCCCCCAGCACCCCCAGAGCTGGCACAGTCACCTCTCCAGGATCCAGATGCCCTGTACCCAGACCCCCAGCCCTGACAGTCCCAGTGCCCTGGCACCCAGGCTCCCAGCACAGCCAGCCCCCTGCACCCAGACGTCCATCACCTCCAGCCCCTCTGCACCCCCAGCCCCAGCACTGCCAGACCCCCAGCACCCAGCCCTCAGCACCCAGTCCCCCAGCACCCAGTTCCAGTGCACCCTCACCTCTGGCACTGCCAGCCCCCCAGCACTCCATCCCCTGGCACCCAGACCCCCTGCACCCAGCTCCCCAGACCCCCAGCACCCCCGGACCCTCAGCACCCCCAGGCCCTGGTGCCCAGCCCCCCTGCACCCAGCTCCTCAGCCCCCCCCCCGCCCTGCACCCAATCCCACGGCCCCACGCCCCCCGTGCCCCCGTGCCCGTCCCCTCCGTACCCGACACACTCGGCCACGTGTCTCATGGACTCCTGGGACACGAACACGTGGCAGGCGAAGCGGCTCAGCACCGGGTGCTTGGTGATGAACCCGAAGTAGCTGTGGGGGGCACAGGGTGAGGGGGGCACAGGGTGAGGGGGGCACAGGGTGAGGGGGGCACCCCAACCCTGCCCTGGGCAGGGGGACACCCACCGGGGCCCCGGGGCAGCCACAGGGGGACCAGGAGTGGGCAGGGGGTCCTGGTGTGGCCTGTGGGTGCCCCAGGCAGGGGATGGGGGTCCCCTGTGGTGCCCATGGGGGGCTCACCAGCTGTTCCGGGGGTGGCACCCGCAGAAGGAGATGTTTTTCATCTGGAAGAAGTGGCTGCAGCGCTCGAACTGGGAGGGAAGAGCAGGGGTGTGGGTGGTCGGCTGAGTGCTCAGAGACCCCCGAAACCTACTCCTGGTCATCCCCCAAACCCACCCCCTGTACCCCTCACCTCCTCATCACCTCCCTAAATCCCCTCCCCTCACCTCCTCGTCACCTCCTCGTCACATCCTCCCAAGCCCTCTCCCCTCACATCCTCGTCACCCCCTAAGCCCCCTCTCCTCACCCCCTCACCCCCCAAACCTCCTCCCCTCACCTCCCCATCCTTCCAAGCCCCCTCCCTTCACCTCCTCATTCCCCCCAAACCCCCACACCCGCTCCCCTCACCTCCTGGTCACCCCTCAAACCCCCTCCCATCACCTCATCACCCCCAAGCCCCATCCCCTCCTCATCCCCCCAAATCCACCCCCCTGCTCCCATCACCTCCCGGTCACCCCCCAAACCGCCTCCCCTCCTCGTCTCCCCACACCCCGTCCCCATCGCCCCCCAAACCCCTCCCTCCATCTCCTCGTGCCCCCGGCCCCCCTCCCCGTGCCCCCCAGCCCCTGCCCTCACCTCCTGGTCCCGGCTGTACTCGGTGACGGTCAGGATGAGTTTGATGCCCTGCAGCGTCACCTCCAGGTCACAGCTGGCCGGGGGGCGCAGATGCACCGTCAGCTTCCTGGTGGTGGCGATCTGGGGGCGCACGGGGAGCCGTGTGAGGGGCGGGGGGTCCCACGGGAGGCGCGGGGCTCCCGCCGCCCCCCCCTCACCTTCTGCATGGCGGCACAGAGGATCCCATTGCCCTGGTGATACGGGACCTCCACGGAGCCCAGGAACTGCACGTTGAACCGCTCCACCCAGCACGGGTTCCTCTTCAGGCCTGGGCGAGGAGAGGGGGCGAGGAGAGGGTGCCCCAAGACCCCCAAGACCCCCCACACACGTCCCTGGGGACCCCACGGGCTCCTACCGATGGCGTCCCGGGCCTGGCCAACCACCTCGTGGGCGTAGAAGGCGGGGAAGATGCCCCTCTCCCCCGTCCGCATGTTGTACCCCCGGTACCAGTAGTCGTCCTCCTCCAGCTCCACCAGGATGGGGTCGTCCACATCCAGCTCCAGCTCATCCTCGTGGCGGGGGATGAACCTGGGGGGATGGATGGAGGGGTGGAGGGATGGATGGAGAGATGGATGGAGGGGTGGAGGGATGGATGGAGGATGTGGGCAGGCAGAGGGTCCTGGAGACCCCCCCATGGCACCCGTGGTTGGGGTTGCTGCTCACCTGAAGACGGCGCGGTGGGTCTGCTCCCGCTCCTCCCCGTTCACCATGCAGGAGAACAGCCCGAAGGACTCTGTGCCTGGGGAGGTGGGGGCTTCCATGAGCCCCAGGGGCGGCTCCCACCCAAGGCGTGGGGGACACACCCGTCACTGCCCTCCCCCCACCCTGGGGGCTGCAGGACCCTTGGGGTGCAGGGAGCCATCACCTCTTCAAGGGGTCCCACTGACCCCCCACCCAGCAGAGCAGGGCTGAGGATCCCTGTGACCCCCTGTCCCACCTCCTGTGACATCCCGTGACATGGCACACAGGGATGGTGCCACGGCCAGGACGGCTGGGGCGGGACACAGAAGGGCAGCCGGTCTACCAGGGCCATGCAGAGCAGCCCGGGACTGCCTAGCACGGCACAAAGTGGCACAGCACGACACGCCACGTCACGACGTGCCACGGCACACCGCGGCACACCACGGCACAACGCGGCACAACGCGGCACAACGCGGCACAACACGGCACAACACGGCACAACACGGCCACTTACTGGAGGAGCGCGAGGTGCTGTTGACGAAGACGTTGAGGAACTTCTTGGAGAACTGGAGGTCGGCCTCGGGGGACGAGTCCTCGGAGGAGCTGTGCGCGTCGGGGGCCACCAGCCCGTCCCCGAAGGCCACCTCGTCGTCCATGTCGCAGCGGTCGCAGGCGCGCAGCAGGTCGCTGTCGTCGCTCAGCACGGACGTGCAGCGCCGCAGGCTCACCAGCTCCAGCTGTGTGTGCTCGTCCACCACCAGCGTGTACTTCACCGAGTCGTAGGCCAGCGACTCGTCCAGCGCCGGCGGCTCCGGCGCCCCGGGGACGGGCGGCAGCTCCCCCCCGAAGCTGCCCCGCCGCGGGGCCGTGGGGAAGGGGGAGCCGGGCAGGAAGGACCCCTCGTCCTCGTCGAAGGCCATGGCGAAGCCGCGGTTGGTCTTGGCGGTGGAGACGTCCAGCGTGGCGGGGTCGGCATCGGGGGGCACTAACCGGACGTCGTCGATCATGTCGTCGGCCTCCAGGACCCCCGAGTCCAGGTCCCTGTCGACGGCCCAGCCCTCGGGGCTGGCTGTGCGCTGGTCCCCGGCACTGTGGTGGTCCCCGGCGCTGTGGTGGTCCCCGGTGACGGCGGGCTCGGTGCCGGGGGACGCGCGTGGCGGGACGCGCGGCGGCGCGGGACGGCAGCCGAAGGTGGCCAGGACCTCGGAGGCGTCCAGCCTGTCGAGGGTGACGGGGCGCCCCGGGAAGACGGGCGCGATGGTGTCGTTGGTGGGGTTGCTGAGGAAGAGGAAGGGGCCCGGCTCCTCGGCCGGCGGCTCCGGCGGCGGCTCCGTGGCGGCGTCCAGGCCTCGCTCGTCCTCGGCACACTCCAGGGAGCTGCGCAGCGTCTCCATGTCCACCAGCTCGATGGCGCGCTGGCACCGCGGCACCGCCGCGTCCCCCGGCCCCGCCGGAGAGTCCCGCGGGACGGGCTCCTCGTCCAGCGCCTCGCTCAGGATCTCGGGCTCCAGGTCGGAGGCCGGGGAGATGGTGTCGCACAGCGAGTGGGTGTTCTGGAAGCACTCGTCCGGGCACTTGATGGGGTACGAGCCCTCCGAGATCATCTTGTTGACCAGGTTGCTGAGCAGCCAGGGAGAGTCCGAGTCCTCGCTAAGGTCGGGCTCCGACTCCGAGTCGGAGTCGTACTCGCTGTTGTCCTCCTCGTCCGCCTCGGGCATCAGCTTGGGCCCCACGGGCAGGTAGAAGGAGCGGCGGATGCTCTCCAGGCTGTGGTCCGGGTCGATCTTCAGGTCCAGGGGGCTGGAGGCGGAGACCTCGGTCTGGCCCTCGGGCGCGGGGCAGTCGGCGGGGTCCAGGCTGTCGTAGTACCCCTCCATCTTCAGCTCGGCCAGGCTCTCCCGCCTCACCACGCCGCGCTCCGGCGGCCCCCTCTCCGCGGGCTCCTCCTCCTCCTCCTTGCCCTTGTCGAGCAGCAGCGAGTCCTTGATGCCCATCAGGCCGGGCGCCTCCAGCTCCGGCTCCAGCTCTCCCTCGGAGCCGGGCGAGCTGGCCTCCTCGATGGAGTTGGTGAGGTGGGAGGAGCGGCCGCTGCTGCTGTCGCTGCTCAGGTCCAGCTCGGTCTCCGAGATGGAGGAGATCATGTTGCTGACCAGGCGCCCGCCGGCGAAGGCCGCCTCGAGCTCCCCCTCCACGTCCGAGTCGGAGCCGGGCGAGCTCAGGTCCTCCCCGTGCCGCCCGCCGGGCAGGAAGGGCTTGGCGGTGCGGCTGGTGAGGTCGGCCTCGATGCCGGGGTCCGAGGAGGGCGAGGTGGTCTCCGAGGAGCCCGAGGGGTGCCCGCGCACGCTGGCCGCCCGGCCGGACCGGGGACCCTCCCCGTCGGAGCTGAGCGGCTCCGGGGGGCACACGCGGGCGCCGTCCGCCCGCTCCTCGGGGGGCCGCGGGGGGCCGGGCTGCGGGCGGGGGGACCCCGGGCTGGGGGCTCCCCGGGCCGCCTCGGGCTGCGTGGGGGCGCGGGGGGCAGCGGCGGGGGCCGGGGGCGGGGGGCCGGCGTCGGGGGGGCCGGGGGGAGCCGCGGGCCCTGTTGGAGAGAGACACGGTTGAGGGGGCGGCTGGCGGGGGCGCGGCGGGGACAGCGGAGCTCGGAGCGCTGCGGAGATGAGGTTCATGTTAAAATCTTGCCCGGCACTCGGGGGCGATGGGTTACCATGTGCCAGGGACTCGGGGCTGTTGCCTTGCGAGTCCAAGGGGGAGGGCGGCAGCGAGGGGGGGGCCCCCCCGGGGCCCCGCGGGCTCTCCAGGCAGGGTCCGTCCAGGATGCAGGCGTGGGGAGACGAGTGTCCTGCGGGAAGGCAGAGCCCGTGTCACCCCGGGGGGCTGCGGGACCACCCCGGCCCCGCGGCGGGGCGGGACCCCGTGGCCGTCCCCGCCCCGCGCTCACCAGTGTGTGAGGAAGAGGAGGAGGAGGAGGAGTGGAGGAGGGCGTCCTGCCAGGTCGTGCGGTGAGCGGGCGGTGGGAAGCTGCCGTTGTTGTTCAGGGAATCCTGCGGGAAGAGCAGAGCCAAGGTGGGTGGGTGGGTGAGACCCGGGGGAGGGGGGTGTAGGGCGCGTTTGGGGACACGACAACGGGACACGGGCGGTACCGGGCCGGGGCGGGCCCAGGGGCGCCCCTCGGAGCTCCCACCGGCCTGGCAGCCCCCGCGCCACGTGCCGGGGGTTTATCCGGATTAGGGCGTCCCTGGATCCCCCGCCCGGCCAGACGCGCTCCAGGGCCGAGGGATGGCACGGCACCGCACGGCACGGTGCCCATCCCGGGGACAGACCCCACGGGGGACGCGCCAGCACCGACACCGACCCCCGGGACCCCCCGTGCGGGGCCACACAAGCAGATCCCGACCCCCCTGCAGGACCCCGGAGCCGGTGGCCCCGCGGTGGGGCCCGAGCCCCCGGGCTGGCCGGAGCCGCAGGGGTCCCCGGGGCTGTCCCGCCGGCGTGGCGGCAGCTGCGGATTAGTCCCGGCGGGAAGCGCGGGCAGCGCTAATCCCACCGAGCCGGGATTAGGGAGCGGGGCCCGCGCCGTGTGCCACCGGGCACGAACCCGCGCGGGAGAGGGAGGGGCTGGGGCACTGCCTCGGCAATGGGATCCGGGGGGCGGGAGGGGTGCGGGGAGACAGGGATGGGTGCGGGGGGGACAGGGATGCGGGGTGGGAATGGGTGTGAGGTGACAGGGACAGGAATGGGGAGGATGGGGACAGGTGCTGGGGGGACAGGGATGGGTGCTGGAGAGGATGAAGATGGGTGCTGGAGCAGGTCTGGAATGGGGAGACGGGGATGGGTGCTGGGAGGGACAGGAACTGGTACTGGGGGTACAGGGGATGGGTGCAGGGGGAGGTGGTGCTGGGGGGACAGGGCACGGGGATTACTGGCACCGATGGGTCGGACCTGGTCAGATCCAGGGGCTCCGCTCATCCCTCCCCCCGAGGGACGATGGAACGGGGTGGCCAGTGGGATCCGGCTTTGCCAGTGGGATCTGGCTTTGCCAGTGGGATCTGGCTTTGCCAGTGGGATCTGGCTTTGCCAGTGGGATCTGGCTTTGCCAGCGGGATCCAGCTTTGCCAGTGGGATCTGGCTTTGCCAGCGGGATCCAGCTTTGCCAGTGGGATCTGGCTTTGCCAGCGGGATCCAGCTTTGCCAGTGGGATCCGGCTTTGCCAGTGGGATCTGGCTTTGCCAGCGGGATCCAGCTTTGCCAGTGGGATCTGGCTTTGCCAGCGGGATCCAGCTTTGCCAGTGGGATCCAGCTTTGCCAGTGGGATCCAGCTTTGCCAGTGGGATCCGGCTTTGCCAGTGGGATCCGGCTTTGCCAGTGGGATCCGGCTTTGCCAGTGGGATCTGGCTTTGCCAGCGGGATCCAGCTTTGCGAGTGCAGCCACCGGGGCACAGAGGGACAAGGCTGAGAGGGACCCCGGGGTTTGTCACCCTCCGGTGACCCTCACCCTCCAGAGCCCCCTCCAGCCCGACAGCGCGCGGTGCCCTCCCGGGATGGGGGGGTGGTGCGGAGAATCCCGAGAGCCCCCGGCTCCATGGCAACGCAGCCGGATGCAGCCGGATGGAGCCGCTCCGCACGCGGCTTCCCACACACTGCGGTGGTGGCTCAGGGCTGGCACCGCACACGCGTGCGCGGGGACACGGGGACACCCCTGGGGGGACCCCCCCCGACATCGTGGGGGAGCCCCCGAGTCCAGCGCCGGGGTGGGACAGGGGGGACACGCCGTGAATGGGCACCCACGGAGCCCCCGTGGGCACAGGGGGCAAAGGCCCCTCGGTGGGGACACCCCTCCGGGCCACCCCCCTCCTCACCTGGGTGCCCGGGGCCGTCAGGTTGAGCGTGGTGGGTCGGTGCTTCTGCGTCTCCTCCAGGGCAGGTGAGGGGATGGGTGAGGCCGAAGGGGACGGTGGAGCTTCCAGATCGTTGCCCTCCTCCTCCTCCTCTTCCTCCTCCTCCTCCTCCTCGTTGTCGTCGATCATCTCGAACTCCTGGAAGTCGTCCTGGAAGGTGCAGACGGGGTGGGGCTGCTCCCCGCGGTCCAGCACCAGGCAGTCCTGGGGAGGGGGCACCGGGTTAGGGGGCACAGGACAGAGCCCTGCGCTCGCCACAGCCCTGTGCCCACCCCGGGGTGACCATCCCCACCGTGGCAGGGTTGGCAGTGCCCCATGGGGCCCCAAGAGGGGACCAGGGACACCCCAGCTCTGCCAGTCCCTGCCTGGCCCCCCCTGCCTGTCCTGGCAGCAGTACCCAGCCAGGCCGAGCTGGGCGAGTGTGAGCCACTCCTCCCTGCTGTGGGGGGAGCTGTGCCAGGCCAGTGCCCCCCCCAGACCCCAGGGGCCACTCGGCTCCTGCACCTTCTCATAGTGGTCCGAGTCGTAGTTGAGGCCGATGCCGCAGTCGTCCGTGATCTCCGACAGGTCCTCATCGTCAAACTCCTCCAGGCTGATGTCCTGGGGGGGCCTGGGGACATGGGGGGAGGGTGACAGACCTCAGGGACAGGCCATCTGTGCCCCCATGGCCCTGAGAGCCAAGTGGCACCGCAGGGACATCCATCCACTGTATTGCTGGCACCCCCAGCACGGGAGCACTGGCACCGGACAAACCACGGGGAGATGCCACCACAGCCCTCTCAGCCCTGGATGCCAGCACAGGAGCACCACGGGGACATGCCACCATAACCCCGTCACCCCTGGGTGCCAGCACTGCAGGGACATGCCACCATAACCCCGTCACCCCTGGGTGCCAGCACCACGGGGACATGCCACCATAACCTCGTCACCCCTGGGTGCCAGCACTGCGGGGACATGCCACCATAACCTCGTCACCCCTGGGTGCCAGCACCACGGGGACATGCCACCATAACCCCGTCACCCCTGGGTGCCAGCACCACAAGGACATGCCACCATAACCCCGTCACCCCTGGGTGCCAGCACTACAAGGACATGCCACCATAACCCCATCACCCCTGGGTGCCAGAGCAGGACAGCCACAAGGACATGGCACCACAACCCCATCACCCCTGGGTGTCAGCATGGGACAGCCACAGGGACATGGCACAGCCACAGGGACATGGCACCATAACTCCATCACCCCTGGGTGCCAGAACAGGACAACCACAGAGACATGGCACCATAACCCTGTGACCCCTGGGTGCCAGCACGGGACAGCCACAGGGACATGGCACCACAACCCCATCACCCCTGGGTGCCAGCATGGGACAGCCACAAGGACATGGCACCACAACCCCATCACCCCTGGGTGCCAGCACGGGACAGCCACAAGGACATGGCACCACAACCCCATCACCCCTGGGTGTCAGCATGGGACAGCCACAGGGACATGGCACAGCCACAGGGACACGGCACAGCCACAGGGACACGGCACCATAACTCCATCACCCCTGGGTGCCAGAACAGGACAACCACAGAGACATGGCACCCTAACCCTGTGACCCCTGGGTACCAGAACAGGACAACCACAGAGACATGGCACCATAACTCAATCACCACATGGCCAGAGTGGCCTTCAGCTGGGCAGAGGTGCCAAGGCCAGCGCACATCCCAAATTCCCTGCCCGGGACAATCCCTGGAGCCAGCCCAGGGCAGAGGCTG